AACATTGTCTATGAGTGACTGTACATTGTCTGTGAGTGACTGAACGCTGTCTGTGATTGACTGAACATTGTGTGTGAGTGACTGAACATTGTGTGTGCGTGACTGAACATTGTGTGTAAGTGACTGAACATTGTGAGTGACTGAACATTGTGTGTGAGTAACTAAACATTGTGTGTGAGTGACTGAACATTGTCTGTGAGTGACTGAACATTGTCTGTGAGTGACTGAACGTTGTCTGTGAATTACTGAACGTTGTCTGTGAATGACTGAACATTGCCTGTGAGTGACTGAACATTGTGTGTGTGTAACTAAACATTGTGTGTTAATGACTGAACATTGTGAGTGGCTGAACATTGAAGAGTGGCTGAACATTGTCAGTTATTCGTTACAGTTCTCTCCGGTTCTGTGACGAATAATACATAAGGTAATTCGAGTACAGTGGATCATACGTACAGTTATAATGCAGCTTAATATGTAATTATTGTTTCTGGTCTGTAATGTTAGTGTTACTGGTCTGTAATGTTAGTGTTACTGGTCTGTAATGTTAGTGTTACTGTCTGAAATGTTAATGTTACTGGTCTTTAATGTAAGTGTTACTGGTCTGTAATGTTAATGTTACTGGTCTGTAATGTTAGTGTTACTGTCTGAAATGTTAATGTTACTGGTCTTTAATGTAAGTGTTACTGGTCTGTAATGTTAATGTTACTGGTCTGTAATATTAGTGCTACTGTCTGTAATGTTAGTGTTACTGGTCTGTAATTTTAATGTTACTGGTCTGTAATGTTAGTGCTAATGGTCTCTAAGGATAGTGCTACTGGTCTGCAATGTTAGTGCATCTGTCTGCAATGTTAGTGTTACTGGTCTGTAATGTTAGTGATAGTGGTCTGTAATGTTAATGTTACTATTCTGTAAAGTTAGTGTTTCTGGTCTGTAATGTTAATGTTACTGGTTTGTAATGTTAGTGCTACTGGTCTGTAATGTTAGTGATAGTGGTCTGTAATGTTAATGATACTTGTCTGTAATGTTAGTGTTACTGGTCTGTAATTTTAGTGTTACTGATCTGTAATGTTAGTGTTACTGTCTGTAATGTTAGTTTTACTGGTCTGCAATGTTAGTGTTACTGGTCTGGAATGTTAGTGTTACTGGTCTGTAATGTTAGTGTTAATGGTCTGCAATGTTAGTGTTACTGGTCTATATTGTTAGTGTTACTGGTCTGTAATGTTATTGTTACTGGTCTGCAATGTTAGTGTTACTGGTCTGTAATGTTAGTGTTACTGGTCTGTAATGTTAGTGTTACTGGTCTGTAATGTTAGTGTTAGTGGTCTGTAATGTTAGTGTTAGTGGTCTGTAATGTTAATGTTACTGGTCTGTAATGTTAGTGTTACTGGTCTGTAATGTTAGCGTTACTGGTCTGTAATGTTAGTGTTACTGTTTGTAATGTTAGTGTTACTGGTCTGTAATGTTAATGTTACTGGTCTGTAATGTTAGTGTTACTGGTCTGTAATGTTAGTGCTACTGTCTGTAATGTTAGTGTTACTGTTTGTAATGTTAGTGTTACTGGTCTGTAATGTTAATGTTACTGGTCTGTAATGTTAGTGTTACTGGTCTGTAATGTTAGTGTTACTGGTCTGTAATGTTAATGTTACTGGTCTGTAATGTTAGTGTTACTGTCTGTAACGTCTGTAATGTTAGTGCTACTGTCTGTAATGTTAGTGTTACTGTTTGTAATATTAGTGTTACTGGTCTGTAATGTTAGTGTTACTGTCTGTAATGTCTGTAATGTTAGTGCTACTGTCTGTAATGTTAGTGTTACTGTCTGTAATGTTAGTGTTACTGGTCTGTAATGTTAGTGTTACTGGTCTGTAATGTTAGTGTTACTGGTCTGTAATGTTAATATTACTGGTCTGTAATGTTAGTGTTACTGTCTGTAATGTTAGTCTTACTGGTCTATAATGTTAGTGTTACTGGTCTGTAATGTTAATGTTACTGGTCTGTAATGTTAGTGCTACTGTCTGTAATGTTTGTATTACTGGTCTGTAGTGTTAGTGCTACTGTCTAATGTTAGTGTTACCTGAATGTAATGTTAGCGTTGCTGGTCTGTAATGTTAAGGGTACTGTCTGTAATGTTAATGTTACTCTCTGTAATGTTAGTGTTAGTGGTCTGTAATGTTAGCGTTACTGGTCTGTAATGTTAGTGTTAGTGTATGTAACGTTAGTGTTACTGGTCTGTAATACTAGTGTTACTGGTCTGTAATGTTAGCGTTACTGGTCTGTAATGTTAATGTTACTGGTCTGTAATGTTAGCGTTACTGGTCTGTAATGTTAGTGTTACTGGTCTGTAATGTTAATGTTACTGGTCTGTAATGTTAGTGTTTCTGGTCTGTAATGTTAGTGTTAGTGGTCTGTAATGTTAGTGTTACTGGTCTGTAATGTTAATGTTACTGGTCTGTAATGTTAGTGTTTCTGGTCTGTAATGTTAGTATTACTGTCTGTAATGTTAGTGTTACTGGTCTGCAATGTTAGTGTTACTTTTCTGCAATGTTAGTGTTACTGGTCTGTAATGTTAGTGTTAGTGGTCTGTAATGTTAGTGTTAGTGCTCTGTAATGTTAGTGTTACTGGTCTGTAATGTTAGTGTTAGTGGTCTGTAATGTTAGTGTTAGTGGTCTGTAATGTTAGTGTTACTGGTCTGTAATGTTAGTGTTAGTGGTCTGTAATGTTAGTGTTAGTGGTCTGTAATGTTAGTGTTAGTGGTCTGTAATGTTAGTGTTACTGGTCTGTAATGTTAATGTTACTGGTCTGTAATGTTAGTGTTAGTGGTCTGTAATGTTAGTGTTACTGGTCTGTAATGTTAGTGTTATGGTCTGTAATGTTAGTGTTAGTGGTCTGTAATGTTAGTGTTAGTGGTCTGTAATGTTAGTGTTAGTGGTCTGTAATGTTAGTGTTACTGGTCTGTAATGTTAGTGTTACTGGTCTGTAATGTTAGTGTTAGTGGTCTGTAATGCTAGTGTTAGTGGTCTGTAATGTTAGTGTTACTGGTCTGTAATGTTAATGTTACTGGTCTGTAATGTTAGTGTTAGTGGTCTGTAATGTTAGTGTTACTGGTCTGTAATGTTAGTGTTACTGGTCTGTAATGTTAGTGTTACTGGTCTGTAATGTTAGTGTTAGTGGTCTGTAATGTTAGTGTTAGTGGTCTGTAATGTTAGTGTTACTGGTCTGTGGTACACTTGTTAACCAACATTGACAGTCTCGTTGCTACGGTTCTCACCGTGTCTCTTGCTTGCATGTACCTTATTGTATATTGTACATTTCCTGTATATATTGTACGTACATTGCTTGTTGTTTGTTGATGGAAATATAAATATTTACTCTCTGTACTTCCTTTAGCTCGTTTCTTCCTTGGTTATCATGCTACAACCAGGTGTGCAGGCCACTAGGCTACACTTGTGTTCATAATATCAGTGTTTCTATGTTTCGACCAGTGGTGTCATGTTTCAACCAGTGGTGCCATGTATCGACCAGTGTGCTATGTTTCGACCAGTGGTGCCATGTTTCGACCAGTGATGCCATATTTCGACCAGTGATGTCATGTTTCGACCATTGGTGTCTCGTCTGTACCAGTGATATCACCTCTCATCCGGTAATAGGTCTCGACCAGTTCTACCATGTCTCGACAGGTGATACCAGTGATACCGTCTACACCAGAAGTGTTACGTCTCGACAAATGATACCGTATTTACCAGTGACGTCACGTTTTTGACAATGATGTCACGTCTCTACCAGTGGTGAACCAATGACCATCTTGTGACCACAAACACTCCCAACTTGAAGATGTCAGGGTAAAATCTGGTTTATAGAGAGACGTAAGCAAACACTCGGACATATTTATCAGCAAACGTTTCGGTCCTGGGACCTTGATCACTTCTAACATGCAGAGGTAGAAAGACAATATATACAGGTGGAGAGTGAGGTGTGTATGACACATGGTGACGTGAAGTGAGGTGTGTGTGACACATGGTGACCTGAAGTGAGGTGTGTGTGACACATGGTGACCTAAAGTGATGTGTGTGTGACACATGGTGACCTGAGGTGAGGTGCGTGACACATGGTGACCTGAAGTGAGGTGTGTGTGACACATGGTGACCTGAAGTGAGGTGTGTGTGACACATGATGACCTGAAGGTGTGTGTGACACATGGTGACCTGAAGATGTGAGTGACATATGGTGACCTGAAGAATTCCATGTGTCACACACACCTCACTTCAGGTCACCATGTGTCACACACACCTCACTTCAGGTCACCATGTGTCACACACACCTCACTTCAGGTCACCATGTGTCACACACACCTCACTTCAGGTCACCATGTGTCACACACACCTCACTCTCCACCTGCATATACTGTCTTTCTACCTCTGCATGCTAGAAGTGATCAACGTCTCAGGACCGAAACGTTTGCTGATAAATATGTCCTAGCGTTTACTTACGTGTTTTTCTAAACCAATTTGTGGGTATTTATTACCAAGGTTTATACAGGATGAATTCTATATATTTTAAATAACATATTTACCTCACATGTAGGAGATTAAGTAAGTAAGTAAGTAAGTAAGTAAGTAAGTAAGTAAGATAATTGGTACATAATACCGACATGATGGAAAAATAAACTCAAAAACAATAGATTTCGATCCTTTATTCCTGACTCTCCAACCTTTACTCAGGTAGATCTGTTTGTGACTTGATAAAGGCCACTGTGTGGGCGAAACGTTGTCGACAAAGGATCACATTATACTGTTTTATGTGTCTATTTTTCCACCTCATATGAAGCTTTATACAGAATTAATAAAAAGAGTAGCTTCATTGAAGCTAAAACCTCGTTTAGCTTTAAAAAATAGGTTAGACAAGTACACGAGTAGGTGTGAGTTGGACCTGCCTAACATGGGCCAGCAGGCCTGCTGCTGTGCGCCTACTTCGTTAAATTCTTTGGAATAAATGGAAAAAATACTGAAACGCTAATAAATTTATTCAAATATTAGACATGGAAATCCTTAATACAAAAAAAAAATCTAACAGGTGTTAGTACAGTTACCAGCGAAGGGCTCACAAAGGAGTAAGTCTGAGTTAAACGCCTCTCCTTCGGGGCAAAGAAAGTATGCCACCTCAGGAGGGTGACAATACAAGTAACCATTGCAATTTTTGGGGTCAGGAATCTTGCCCTCAGCGACGCAATACACTTCGCAGGGGTCACACAGGTTGTAGCAAACAGTGTCGTCGTTGGTACAATCTGAAGTCTCGAAGTTGTAGTTCGGATATTCAGGTGGACACGACACATCCAAGACACCATTATCAAGGCAGATTTTATATATCTGACAATCTGTTGGAGACGGCAACATAGTTCCTGGAATACACAGACCATAGTTTAAATTATAAATAATGGAATATTTGCTCTTCCAAGGAAGGTGAATAAATTAAAATCAAGAAGGTCATTGCCCAATTCCAGAGAGGATCCAGGTCCTCTATGTTGTGTGTAGATAAATGGTTCAGAGAACCGATAAGATGATCAATTAGATGATAAACTCTTCGCCATACATTGGCTTCATCCGTCCAATGTAAAGAAGAATGGTGAAGATCACAAGAAGTTTGAGGTAATCAGTCCCTCAGCCTGGAGTCAATAAAATCAGTCCATCTATAACTGATAGATTGATTATATCGATTCCAGGCTGAAGGATTGATTACCTCAAACTTCATCTGATCTTCACCAATCTTCTTTGTATTGGACTGATGAACCCGCTGTAACGAAAATTTTCTACAATAAAAGCACCCGAGTGTTGCACATGTGCCTAATCATCACCTATGTTACCTAACAAACCATACCTAACCTAACCTAACCTAACCTAACCTAACCTAACCTAACCTAACCTAACCTAACCTAACCTAACCTAACCTAATCTAACCTAACCTAACCTAATCTAACCTAACCTAACCTAATCTAACCTAACCTAACCTAATCTAACCTAATCTAACCTAACCTAACCTAACCTAACCTAACCTAACCTAACCTAACCTAATCTAACCTAACCTAACATAACCTAACCTAACCTTACTTAACCTAACCTAACCTAACCTAACCTAACCTAACCTAACCTAACCTAACCTAACCTAACGTAACGTAACCTAACCTAACCTAACCTAACCTAACCTAACCTTACTTAACCTAACCTAACTACCTAACCTAACCTAACCTAACCTAACCTAACCTAATCTAACCTAACCTAACCTAACATAACCTAACCTAACCTAACCTAACCTAACCTAACCTAACCTAGCCTAACCTAGCCTAACCTAACCTAACCTAACCTAACCTAATCTAACCTAACCTAACCTAACCTAACCTAACCTAACCTAACCTAACCTAACCTAGCCTTACGTAATCTAACCTAACCTAACCTAACATAACCTAACATAACCTAACCTAACCTAACCTAACCTAACCTAACCTAGCCTTACGTAATCTAACCTAACCTATATCACATAACCCCAGTCCTCTGTACTTCAACTCACTGCAACACGACTAGCAGTTGTACCTGAAAACTGCAATTAGGCAGAAGAGCTTCGGCTCAACTCCCTCTCTCCGAGACTTGACTGGAAATTTACATCGAGTTCTTTAATAATCCAGACTCCTGGAAGTGAGGGAGACCGGTGAATATGATAATGGTATACAATAATCTAGACTCCTGGAAGTGAGGGAGACCGGTGAATATGATAATGGTATACAATAATCCAGACTCCTGGAAGTGAGGAAGACCGGTGAATATGATAATGGTATACAATAATCCAGACTCCTGGAAGTGAGGGAGACCGGTGAATATGATAATGGTATACAATAATCTAGACTCCTGGAAGTGAGGGAGACCGGTGAATTATGATAATGGTATACAATAATCCAGACTCCTGGAAGTGAGGGAGACCGGTGAATATGATAATGGTATACAATAATCCAGACTCCTGGAAGTGAGGGAGACCGGTGAATATGATAATGGTATACAATACCGACAAGTTGACAAGCAAGACACATGTGCAACAGTTAGGTATCCTTGCAGTGCTTCTCTCTCTTAGAATTTGACTGACTCCACTACTACTACTACTACTACTGCTACTACTACTACTACTACTACCTCCACTACTACCTCTCTTGCTCCCGTCAATGTCTGCTGGCCTACATATACTCCCTCCTCCTCTACTATCTGTTAGTGTGACTTTGTAAATGGTCCAAGTTGGACCGAAACGTCGTCGTAAGCTCCTCTCTTCTATGTGCGGGTTATTTGTGTATTGTTCCAGTCACGGTATTGTGCCTTTTTTTTATCCTTGTTCCATAGTCTGGAACAAAGTTCCAGATTATGGAGCAAAACTCTTCTCCAGGCTGAGGGACTGATCACCTCAAATCTACGTCTTCAAGGGTGATGGATTGATTACATCGTCTTTACATCACTACTGCTTCTGCTGCCTCTGCACTTGACTGAAGAAACCTACCGTGAAGGCGAAACATTTCAAATAAAGACACCCAGCTGTTGCATAAGTCTCTTACCAGAGAGAGACTGGTAGTGAGAGAGGAGAGAGACTGGTAGTGAGGGAGGAGAGAGACTGGTAGTGAGGGAGGAGAGAGACTGGTAGTGAGGGAGGGAGAGAGACTGGTAGTGAGAGAGGAGAGAGACTGGTAGTGAGGGAGGAGAGAGACTGGTAGTGAGGGAGGAGAGAGACTGGTAGTGAGGGAGGAGAGAGACTGGTAGTGAGGGAGGAGAGAGACTGGTAGTGAGGGAGGAGAGAGACTAGTAGTGAGGGAGGAGAGAGACTGGTAGTGAGGGAGGAGAGAGACTAGTAGTGAGGGAGGAGAGAGACTAGTAGTGAGGGAGGAGAGAGACTGGTAGTGAGGGAGGAGAGAGACTGGTAGTGAGGGAGGAGAGAGACTGGTAGTGAGGGAGGAGAGAGACTGGTAGTGAGGGAGGAGAGAGACTAGTAGTGAGGGAGGAGAGAGACTGGTAGTGAGAGAGGAGAGAGACTGGTAGTGAGGGAGGAGAGAGACTGGTAGTGAGGGAGGAGAGAGACTGGTAGTGAGGGAGGAGAGAGACTGGTAGTGAGGGAGGAGAGAGACTGGTAGTGAGGGAGGAGAGAGACTGGTAGTGAGGGAGGAGAGAGACTGGTAGTGAGGGAGGAGAGAGACTGGTAGTGAGGGAGGAGAGAGACTGGTAGTGAGAGAGGAGAGAGACTGGTAGTGAGGGAGGAGAGAGACTGGTAGTGAGGGAGGAGAGAGACTGGTAGTGAGGGAGGAGAGAGACTGGTAGTGAGGGAGGAGAGAGACTGGTAGTGAGGGAGGAGAGAGACTAGTAGTGAGGGAGGAGAGAGACTGGTAGTGAGGGAGGAGAGAGACTAGTAGTGAGGGAGGAGAGAGACTAGTAGTGAGGAGGAGAGAGACTGGTAGTGAGGGAGGAGAGAGACTGGTAGTGAGGAGGAGAGAGACTGGTAGTGAGGGAGGAGAGAGACTGGTAGTGAGGGAGGAGAGAGACTAGTAGTGAGGGAGGAGAGAGACTGGTAGTGAGAGAGGAGAGAGACTGGTAGTGAGGGAGGAGAGAGATGGTAGTGAGGGAGGAGAGAGACTGGTAGTGAGGGAGGAGAGAGACTGGTAGTGAGGGAGGAAGAGACTGGTAGTGAGGGAGGAGAGAGACTAGTAGTGAGGGAGGAGAGAGACTGGTAGTGAGGGAGGAGAGAGACTGGTAGTGAGGGAGGAGAGAGACTGGTAGTGAGGGAGGAGAGGACTGGTAGTGAGGGAGGAGAGAGACTGGTAGTGAGGGAGGAGAGAGACTAGTAGTGAGGGAGGAGAGAGACTGGTAGTGAGGGAGGAGAGAGACTAGTAGTGAGGGAGGAGAGAGACTAGTAGTGAGGGAGGAGAGAGACTGGTAGTGAGGGAGGAGAGAGAGACTGGTAGTGAGGGAGGAGAGAGACTGGTAGTGAGGGAGGAGAGAGACTGGTAGTGAGGGAGGAGAGAGACTGGTAGTGAGGGAGGAGAGAGACTAGTAGTGAGGGAGGAGAGAGACTAGTAGTGAGGGAGGAGGAGGAGGTGGTAGTGAGGGAGGAGAGAGACTGGTAGTGAGGGAGGAGAGAGACTGGTAGTGAGGGAGGAGAGAGACTGGTAGTGAGAGAGGAGAGAGACTGGTAGTGAGGGAGGAGAGAGACTAGTAGTGAGGGAGGAGAGAGACTGGTAGTGAGGGAGGAGAGAGACTGGTAGTGAGGGAGGAGAGAGACTGGTAGTGAGGGAGGAGAGAGACTGGTATGTGAGGGAGGAGAGAGACTGGTAGTGAGGGAGGAGAGAGACTAGTAGTGAGGGAGGAGAGAGACTAGTAGTGAGGGAGGAGGAGGAGGTGGTAGTGAGGGAGAAGAGAGACTGGTAGTGAGGGAGGAGAGAGACTGGTAGTGAGGGAGGAGAGAGACTGGTAGTGAGAGAGGAGAGAGACTGGTAGTGAGGGAGGAGAGAGACTAGTAGTGAGGGAGAAGAGAGACTAGTAGTGAGGGAGGAGAGAGACTGGTAGTGAGTTAGGAAAGAGACTAGTAGTGAGGGAGGAGAGAGACTAGTAGTCAGGGAGGAAAGAGACTAGTAATGAGGGAGGAGAGAGACTGGTAGTGAGGGAGGAGAGAGACTAGTAGTGAGGGAGGAGAGAGACTGGTAGTGAGGGAGGAGAGAGACTAGTAGTGAGGGAGGAGAGAGACTAGTAGTGAGGGAGGAGAAAGACTGGTAGTGAGGGAGGAAAGAGACTAGTAGTGAGGGAGGAGAGAGACTAGTAGTGAAGGAGGAGAGAGAATAGTAGTGAGAGAGGAAAAAGACTGGTAGTGAGGGAGGAGAGACTAGTAGTGAGGGAGGAGAGAGACTAGTAGTGAGGGAGGAGAGAGACTGGTAGTGAGGGAGGAGAGAGACTAGTAGTGAGAGAGGAGAGAGACTGGTAGTGAGGGAGGAGAGAGACTAGTAGTGAGGGAGGAGAGAGACTAGTAGTCAGGGTGGAAAGAGACTAGTAGTGAGGGAGGAGAGAGACTGGTAGTGAGGGAGGAGAGAGACTAGTATTGAGGGAGGAGAGAGACTGGTAGTGAGGGAGGAGAGAGACTGGTAGTGAGGGAGGAGAGAGACTGGTAGTGAGGGAGGAGAGAGACTAGTAGTAAGGGAGGAGAGAGACTAGTAGTGAGGGAGGAGAGAGACTAGTAGTGAGGGAGGAGAAAGACTAGCAGTGAGAGAGGAGAGAGACTAGTAGTGAGGGAGGAGAAAGACTAGTAGTGAGGGAGGAGAGAGACTAGTAGTGAGGGAGGTAGAGAGACTAGTAGTGAGGAGGAGAGAGACTAGTAGTGAGGGAGGAGAGA